ACTGACACCTATGGGGACAACTGGCACAATTGGAACGTTACAATCCTGGGTCAGAAACGGTTTAGGAAGGGCAGGATTGGGGTAAGGGGCATTCTACACTGACGGCACCATTACCGGCTTTGCAGTTGTTGATAACTCAAACCCAGGGGCATCTCAAATGCACAAGGGTCAATGTGCTAATGTACAAAGTCCAGGTGGGGCACTGGGGTGTAATTCAGGGGTCTGTTCCAGATCTTTGACTCACACCACAGAGGAAGAGATTTTCCTTCAGCAATGGTCTTTAATACGTGGAGAGAAAAACTGTGTTGTTAAGAGGGCTTTCATTTGGGAGACAGATGCTGGAGGTTTCAGTAAACCAGCAGCCAAGTTTCTAAAAAGTATGGATGGCAATTTCCTAACCTGGCCCAAAACAAGGTAACTCCATCGTGGACCTCATCAGGAGAGGGAAAGCTGAAGTAATCACTAGGCTGGAAGTTGGTGGTTGCCTAGGAACCAGTGATCATGACCTGATTACATTCAATATGCCAAACAAAGGACATTTATCCCAACCAGCAATACACATACGTGGGACTTCAAAGGGCTGATTTCCCAAAGCTGAGAACAATGACAAGTGAAACATCAGACAGAAAAATGCCAGTGAAAATGGGGACTTCTGGAAGTGGAGATCAGTAGGTGTCCAAAAGCCATGATTTTACAAACTCTGGCTCAAAACTCATCCTGAGTCGGCAGTAAAGTGAAGGCGGTAATTAGAAATAAAAAAGGAATATGTGACACATGGAAAAGGGGGAGTAACACACAACACTCAATATATATTAGAAGTTATGAAGAGTAGAAAACTGATAAGGGAAACTAAAGCCACGAGGGAAAAATTCCTGGCTGGCAGGCCTGAGGGCAATGAGAAGGGATTTTTCAGCATCTTTGAAGCAAAGGAAATCCAAGCAATGGTACCGGCCCATTACTAGACAGAGATGGTAACACTGCTAATAGTGATGCAGAAAGGAAAAAGCAGTCGATAAGTATTTCTGTATCTGGAAAGAAGCAGGAGAACGTACTCGTCTTGCAGAAGGCTGATGAGGTTCTTTGCAGCCCATTGCCAAAAGGCCTGGAAAACCTGCACCCAAGAGTCTTTAAAAAGTTGGCCAGGTCAACTTTTATCTTAGACCACACGTCTTAAACCAGGCCCTCTGGTTATGCTTAACCAGCCATGTATTAATTCACCATTAACAGAACATCAGCGGCCCCCCACCCCGCTGTTCTAGGCAAGCACTGAGCACACCCCAGGGAGTCTTGCAAGCAATTGTTGGGGCCCAGCAGCGGCAGGCTATTGGCTGGGGAACAAGAGCAGCAGGAACACAGCTTTCCACTGCGAGTAACACCACAACGTTGTTGTAGGTCCACCTTTACTAACACGTCCAGATGGAGCCACTTTATTCAAAGACAAAGCGGCACTTCCAAAAGAGGGGTGCTCCGCGTTGCTGAGCGATGCCCCCGCCTCTCTGCTGTCACCTCATCCATGCTGGGGAGCTAGCCCAGCACCCCATGCACGAGGAGACTGTCTCACATCTCTTAACTGTGTTTGCGCTGTCTCAGCAGTATCAAACAAATGAAGTCGGGTAAATCGCCAGGCAAAGACGACGAGTGGACACGTTTAACCGTGCAGGCCCCCAGACTGTTACCTGGCTACATTAGCTTATGAAAGGTGTGGTGTAGTGGAGGGTGCAGTCTGCTCTGTATCCCCGGGTCCCCGTGTTGTGATGTGTGATTCCCATTGACTTGATGTAGCGTCAGTTCCCTGCTGGTTGCTATGCTTGGGCGGTGGGCGATGGAGGACCCCCACGGGCGCCTGTCTGTAGCATGGCCCAGCAAGAGGGGCCTCAGGACAGTGGCCAAACCGGTTCTACTTGTAAAGGGAAAAGACCAGACAAAGGGAAGTGTGTGCTGGGGGAAGGGGCAGTCTTGGGCTGGAATCATGGAGGAACCAGTCTAAGGAGAGGGCTGGAATCCAGGGGCCTAGGGACCAATCTCAAGGGGTCTGAGGTATCCTGGCCCAGACTCCGGTAACCACATCACGTCTAGGCTGTGCTGTATCCTGGAGAAGCAATAAACCCCCCTCTATTCTACCGGCTGGCAGAGTCTGTTCTTGCGGCTACAGGGGTGCAGGATCGGGAGGAACCCCAACGCACCGTCACTAAAGGTATCCTGGAGACTGAGACAATTCCTCTGGATTTCAGAGAGGCAGTCATAGTTACACTGCACACAAATAAAGGCAACAGGTCTGACTGTGTCCCCCTGCTAGCTGTAGGTGGGAACCCCTTGCTTGTATTTTAATCATCTTATCCATCAAGCGTCTGCCAGAGACCCAAAGGCTACGTCTACACTGGCATGATTTTCCGGAAATGCTTTTAACAGAAAAGTTTTCCGTTAAAAGCATTTTCAGAAAAGCGCGTCTAGATTGGCAGGATGCTTTTCCGTAAAAGCACTTTTTGCGGAAAAGCGTCCATGGCCAATCTAGACGCCGTTTTCCGCAAAAAAGCCCCGATGGCCATTTTTGCGATCGGGGCTTTTTTGCGGAAAACAAATCAGAGCTGTCTACACTGGCCCTTTTGCGCAAAAGACTTTTGGAAAAAGACTTTTGCCCGAACGGGAGCAGCACAGTATTTCCGGAAAAGCACTGACAATCTTACATGAGATCGTCAGTGCTTTTCTGGAAATTCAAGTGGCCAGTGTAGACAGCTGGCAAGTTTTTCCGCAAAAGCGGATGATTTTGCGGAAAAACTTGCCAGTCTAGACAGCCAATGTGCTCCACGAACCTTGCACAAGCCTATCACATGGGGGTACCTCATCCATGGGCCCCTGTCACCCTCATATTTGTGGATCCGTTAATGACTGACTAGCCCGTTTCTGGAGCCACAGGTCTTATTGCAGAAGGGGCAGGTGCTGGTGGCTCTTGGAGGGACGCGGGGCAGGTTTTGCGGCTCTTTTCTCTGTCTCCGCCTCTCCTCATCTGCACGGTGGTGGGACCTCTCAACTCGCACCACTCCCCCCGGATTACCGCTCTCCATTGGGGACAGTCCAGGGCCCGGTTCTCCCACGTGTCGACACCGACACTGCGCTTTTCCATGTTTGCCTTCAACGTGTCCTTAAATCGCTGCCGCCGGCCCCCAACGCTCCTCTGTCCCTCCTTCAGCTCGGAAAACAGAACCTGGCCTGGGAGGCGCGGCTCAGGCATCCGGCCCCCGGAGCAGCCCAGCAAAGCTGTTGGGAGATGATCGCGTCAGTGCTGGCCATGTTGACGCTCCCAGGACGCGCGTGTTCGAGCGCCTGTCCTCCAAGGGAGAGTTAGGGTTCTCCCGAGGCAGCGATGATGATATTGTTCAGGTGATGCGTCTACGCTGTCCAGGTTCCACGGGCGTACAGCAGTGCTGGATCCACCACGGCGCGGTGCACACGGCGCTTTGTCCGGGCACTGACGTCCCGGTTCTCAAAGACCCTTGTCTCAGGCGGGCAGAAGCAGAGCTCGCCAGCTCAGGCGACGCTGGACTGCGGCGTCCACGCCGGCTCTGGCGCAGGCGGAGATGACGTCCGCGGTAGGGGAAACGCTCCACGTTCTCCAGCCACTCGCCCGGGACTTCAAGAGACGGGGCATGAGACTGCCCCCTCGGCGAGGGCTGGTGGAGCGCCCTGGGCTCTGTGAGGCCGGGATTCCCGGACGCGTAAGGTCTGAAGGGCCAACGGGGCAAAGAGCAGCCATCACAGTGTCACGAGATGTCAGAGGCTCAGCCAGTGCACTAAATGCTCCAGGAACAACCGTGTGGGTGAAGCCAGACAATCACCCGGCCCTGCAAACGATACAAAGTCTGATAAACTGGGGAGGGGGGGGCACTAGCTGACCTCTAGACCTCTCCCTCCAGGGAACCCTGCCCAGCCTGGGCCGGTCCATTCCTAGCTCCGCTGGCCACTACATAGCGGGTCTGAGCAGAGGCTTGAACAACCCGCTAAGCACCCAGCTGTTTTCCTGCCTGGCTGCTGCGCCTGGGGGGTGTTAACTGGCGGCTTCCCTTGGAAACATGCTCCCTCTGCCCCCTTGGTGCCCCCC